GATCCTGGTTCAAAGCCAGCCCAGGCAGGAAAGTCTATGAGACTCTCTAATCTCCAATGAACCACCAGAAATTTTTTTTAAAGAAAAGCTGAAAGGGGTGCTGTGGCTCAAGTGGTAGAGCGCTGGCCTTGAGCACAAAAGCTCAGGGACAAGAGCTCAGTCCCTGAGTTCAAGCCCCAGGATTGACTCTCTCTCTCTCTCTCTCTCTCTCTCTCTCTCTCTCTCACACACACACACACACACACAGAGGCAGAAAAGTGTGTAAGGTAGAGTTAAGTTGATTTGAAAGTGAAGGGTAGAGAAATTCTCCATTGGAAGGTCCTTGTGTGTCCAGTGGAATTCTCTTGGCGGACTCCCTTAGCTCAAAGCTGGAAATGGAGCTGTGGCTCAAGTGGTAGAGCACCAACCCTGAGCCACAAAAGAGCTCAGGGACAGCGCCCAGGCCCTGAGTTTAAGCTCCAGGACTGGCAACAAAAGAAAAAACTTTTATTTTTTTATTTTTAAAGAGAAGAAATTCTACAGGCAGAGGCTGGTTTGGGGTTCCCGGTGCCAGGTGAACAGAAAGAGCCATGTGCAGTCATCGTGGTTGGCCTGGCTGGTGTTTGCTTAGATCTAGACTGGTTGGATTACCCACTCAATGAGGCCCCCATTAGCCAAGGTTAAAAGTGAACCCTACACAGCTAATAATAATAATAACAATAATAATAATAATGCCACAGGAAGAAATGGCGTGGAACCTGTCAGGAGATTAATTCTCGCCTCCAAAGATTCCACAGGTAACAGGTCAGTGTCCTTCCACCCCCAAAGAACTCCAAAAATGGTTATAAAGAAGGGAATTGCCTATCCCTCTTGGCTAGGACCCACGCACCCCAGGGTGGCATCTTTCCCTGTGAGTTGAACGCAGGGAAGAGATAAGAGAGGCTTTGTTCAGCCTTGGAGGAGGGATGGGGGGGAGGAGGGATGGGGGGGCGGAGGGATGGGGGGGCGGAGGGATGGGGGGGGCGGAGGGATGGGGGGGCGGAGGGAGGCGAAGTAAAGGCAACAATGTCCTAAAGACATTCCTACACCCCCGAAACCTGGGGGGAGACGAGGAAACTGAGCATGGGGCTCTAGTTCTGTCTTTGTGAAGTCACTCTGAGCCAGGCAACCATGGCGCACGCCTGTCATCCCGGCTACTCAGGAGACTGAGATGTGAGGATCGCAGTTCAAAGCCAGCCCGGGCAGAAAAATGCGTGTCTCTTATCTCCAATAAACCAGAATTACTATTATTATTAATAATATTAACAAGGCAAGGCTGGGCAGGTGGCTCAGTGGTAGAGTGCTTGCCTAGCATGCATGAGGCCCTGGGTTCGATTCCTCAGGATCATATACACAGAAAAAGAAATAAAATTAATAATCAAAAGAAAAAGCCAGACGTGGCGCTGTGGCTCAAGTGGTAGAGAAGCTAGTCTTGAGTGAAAAAGCTCAGGGACAGCGCCCAGGCCCTAAGTTCAAGTCCCAGGACCAGCACACACACACACACACACACACAGAGTCTCAGAGCCCACGAGATTTCATTTACCCTCAGGACTGGCCAAACAAAACAAATGAGATAAGCACTCCAGAGACCAGGTTGTAGCTACGTTCAATTATTTCCTTCTAAATCGCATTTGTTCTGGGTGACTGCACTTGCAAATCATTCCTATTGTCACTCTTGCTTGGGGCACTAAGTTGTATCAGGTCAAGAGGAAAAGTTATTTTAAAAATAACACAAATAGGGCTGGGCAGGTGGCTCAGTGGTAGAGCGCTCGCCTAGCATGCATGAGGCCCTGGGTTCGATTCCTCAGTACCACATACACAGAAATAAGCCGGAAGTGGCGCTATGGCTCAAGTGGTAGAGTGCCAGCCTTGAGCAAAAAGGATTAGGGATAGTGCCCAGAGTTGAAGCCCCAGGATTGGCACAAAAGAAAATGAAACAAAATACAACTCCTTCAGGGAATATATATATATATTCACCTTGAGTGAAAGAGCTCAGGGACAGTGCCCAGGCCCAAGTTCAAGCCCCACAACGGACCAAAAACAAAACAAAACATGTGCATCAACTATGGGCATCAACTATGGGCCATGCCGGGTGCCGGTGGCTCACGCCTGTCATCCTAGCTACTCAGGAGGCTGAGATCTGAGGATCGCGGTTCAAAGCCAACCTGGGCAGGAGAGACCGTGAGACTCCTATCTCCAATAAACCACCAGAAAACCGGAAGTGGCGCTGTGGCTCAAGTGGTAGAGCGCTCGCCTTGAGCTGAAGAGCTGAGGGACAGCGCCCAGGCCCAGAGTTCAAGTCCCACAACCGCCAAGAAACAAAACAAAACTATGGACCATGTCTTCTTTCCCCTGAACTCACCTGTACCAGACACCTCTAGTGGCAGGTTCTTGGTATTCATTTTATTAGACTGTAAGTTAGCTGTTCAAGGAACTTACACCATTGGATTTCTCCCTGCCCTATTCCATACTTCAGTTAATGTGTTTGTTTATATATAGATATATATATATCCATATATATGGATATATAGATATATATGTATATGTATAACTGTATATACACATATACATATATATATAATGTACATACCTATACTTGTATATGCTGATATATTTATGATTTATATCTAACTTGTACATATAGAGCAAAACATATGCCTCTCTCTCTCTCTCTCTCTCTCTCTCTCTCTCTCTCTCTCTCTCTCTCTCTCTCGGTCTGAGGCCTGGGACTTGAACTCAGTAGCTGATACTTTTGCTCATTGGCTGGCGCTCTACCAACCGAGCCACACCTCTGACCCTCTTTCTGTATTGTCTGCTACTTCCTGCTAAGGATTTAGACTCCGTTTCTTTACCCGATCAGAACGTTTTGTCTGGAAGGACAAACGGATTATCCCCACTCGGAAGCTGGTGTATATTTCAGAACCTGTCTCTTGTGTGGTTCTGTCAAGAATGGTGTAATTCTAGATGCCAACGCTTAATGTCTTTATATCTTTTTTTTCGTGGGTGGAGGAAAAGTATCGAATGATCCAAGTGTTATTTAGGCTGTGGGGAGATGAGGATGGCGAGTCTACTTTTCTTTTTGTTTATCGTTGAGGATTTCCTCCTGTTATTTTCGTACCCATGCATGTGATCCGCCCTTAGCTTTTTCCTTCTTTCCTCTCTTTTCATTTCTTTAAATCCTTCCAGGTTGGGACCACAGGGGCCCACTGTAATCCACACTACCTCGTGATGTGTCTTGTTAAAATAGCACTGGGTAGACACCCGGGCTTATTACGAACCAGGTCAGGTAGGCATTAACTGTCCCCACTTGAAAAGGGGGGGTGGTGAGGATTTTTTTTTGGTCACTTGTGGGGCTTGAACTCAGGGCCTGGCCACTGTCCTTGAACTGGGCACTGTCCTTTTGCTCTAGGCTGGCGCTCTACTACTTGAGCCACAGCTCCACTTCCAGTTTTCTGGTGGTTCATGGGAGATCAGAGTCTCATGGATTTTCCTGCCCGGGCTGGCTTTGAACCCCGATCCTCAGATCTCAGCCTCCTGAGTAGCTGGGATGACAGGCGTGAGCCACGGGGTGGTGCCTGGCTGGTATTTACATTTTTTTAACGTCTCTAAAAAAGTTTAATAATAATTGACACACTCAATTGCAAATATCAACCTGAGGAGATAATGCTGATTTGCTTCCGGTGTTTCATTTTCTTAAGCCAATTGAATGATGAATGTCACAGTAAAAGGCTGTGATTATTATTAATGGTTGCATCTGCTATCTGATCTTTCCCTAAGGGTGTCTTACTTAGAATGACACACTATGCAGTTAGCTTTACGGTCTGGTCTTCGCTGCAGTTTGTTATAAGAAAATGTCCTTGTTTGACTCCTGTTAACTAGATGCTCCCTTGTGCAATGCACTTGCATGCTTAATACTCATTAAAATTCTGCTCACAAATTTTGGTGCCAGGAGCCGGTGGCTCCCACCTGTCATCCCAGAGACTCAGGAGGCTGAGACCTGAGGATCGCCGTGCGAGGCCAGCCAGGCAGGAAAGTCCGTGAGATGCTGATCTCCCATGAACCACCCGAAAACCAAAAGTGGCGCTGTGGCTCAAGTGGTAGAGCACCAGCCTTGAGCCAAAGCAGCTCAGGGACAGCGCCCAGGCCCTGAGTTCAAGCCCCAGGACTGACAAAAAAATTAAAATTAAACAAAAAACCAAAAAGAAGCATCTGCCCCTGTGACTTGATTTCCACGGATTAAAATGCCGCCTTTGTGTTCATGCGCCTCATGGATTTTGATGTTGCTGTGGTGGTGGTAGCTGCTGCTGTTAGGAATGCATTAGCACAATACATTGCTGATGGATTTCGTGCCATGGGCTCTCTCTGGAAAGAAAGAAATGAGACTAGAAAGTTCTGTTTGGGACACCCAACCGTCCGTCCTTCTTGTAAACCGGTCTCGTGCCCAAGATTTCCAACTGAATAAAGTGCAATGAATCTACCACCTGGCAAGCTATTTCAAATTTCCCACCATCGTCCACACAAGGTGCATTGCACGCCCCGCGTCTCATGAGACCGAAATATGACGCATGCCGGAACAAGCAGTTAATATTAATCACTGTACAGAGTAAAGGAAAAGTTGAGTATTGTATGGGTGTATTGGTTTCAGAAGTTCATATACAGGGTTTGGAAGTATTAGAGACGCTTTTGTTTTTCACTTAGCCATGCATTTTATTTCCAGTCCCCCAATGTAGCCTTTACATGAACAAACATTTTTGTTTGTTTGTTTGTTTTGGAGGGCCAGTCCTAACATTTGAACTCAGGGCCTGGGTGCTGTTCCTGAGCTGTTCTGCTCAAGGCTGGTGCTCTACCATTTGAGCCACAGCTCCACTTCTGGGTGTTTTTAGTGGTTGATTGGAGATAAGGGTCTCACACACTTTTCTGCCCAGGCTGGCTTTGAACCACGATCCTCAGATCTCAGTGGCCGGGGTGACAGGTGCGCGTGGTTACAGGGGCAGATGGTGCGGCGGCGGCTCGGCCCAGGCCCCGGCCCCGGGCCCACCCCTCTTCCCGTAGGTGTTGGAGCCCACGTTGGTGGCGGGCGGCAGGGCCCCCAGGGTGTGGCTGGAATGGAGCAGGAAGCTGGCCAGGCGGTGCGTGGCGCAGGTGGCCGTGTTGCAGACACGCTTGTCCAGCCGCGCGTCTGCCCGCTGGCCGGCACCCCTGCAAGGGGGGGAGAGGCTGAGAGGCAGGGCTGCAAATCCACCCATGCCACACACGCCACACACGATCACACACGATCATGCACGATCACACGCATCACACACGATCACACACATCATACACGATCACACACCACCCGGGGGACCCATGACGTCTCCGATGGGTGCAACGTGGTGCACACATTCAGCCAGGGCTGAACGGTACACACCACGCCACATATAGACACGCACATGGAAGGAGCGTGTATATCTACACACACACACACACATAGATACAAACACCTGTATATATACACACACACATAGATACACACACCTATATATATACACACACATAGATACACACACCTGTATATATATACACACTCATAGATACACACACCTGTATATATACACACACACATAGATACAAACACCTGTATATATACACACACACATAGATACACACACCTGTATATATACACACACATAGATACACACACCTGTATATACACACACACATAGATACACACACCTGTATATATACACACACATAGATACACACACCTGTATATACACACACACATAGATACACACACCTGTATATACACACACACATAGATACACACACCTGTATATATACACACACATAGATACACACACCTGTATATACACACACACATAGATACACACACCTGTATATATATATATATATATACACATAGATACACACAGCTGTATATATACACACACAGATACACACCTGTATATATATACACACACATAGATACCTGTATATATACACACATATATACACACCTGTATATATATATATACACACACACACACACATAGATACACACCTGTATATATACACACACATAGATACACACCTGTATATATATACACACACACACATATACATATGTATATACACACATTCAAATATACATAAATACACAATATACATATGGTATATATAAATTATGTTATATATTATATAAGTATATAAACATATATACATATAAAACATAAAGATATGAGCATATATTATATATATATATATATATATATACACACACACATAAACCTGGTGAAAAAATCAGGTAGTGAAGTCAATGTATACATGTATATCTATGTAGATGGATATCTATGTAGATGGATATCTATGTAGATGGATATCTATGTAGATGGATATCTATGTAGATGGATATCTATGTGTGTGTATAGCTCATAACCACACTATGCACTATACACCACTCAGGCAACGTGTTATGTATTTTATGTTTGTACCATAGTGCACATACACTATACATAACATATATGCTATGCACCACATATTACACATGCAGAAACACACCACCCACATGCACACACATGTGCATGTGTGCATATGCGCACACATATAGAATATATGTATACATACATGTATACAATGCATGCATGTAGTTATGTATTTGTGCACACATACATGTGTATATAAGGACACTTATACATGCTCATACACACAAACACATATGTAATATATACACATATGCACAAGTACACACCGATGTACCAGCACACATATACACACACCTATATATGCATTCGCATATACATGGACACACACATAAACACATGCACACAGTGCATACACACATGCACACATAGGTGTGCATATACACACATGAACATGCATACACGCACACACGTATATGCATTTGCATGCACACATGTATGCACAAACACATATACACATGTGTAATATACACACACACAAGTACATAGATTACAAGCACATGTGCACAGTACATATACAGGCATGCACATATATGTATATGCGTGCACCATACACACATGTATGTGCATGTGTATGTACATGTATATATGTGAACACATACAGACATGTTTATGCACACACACATATGCATGTGTTGATCTGTACATGCACACACATACATGTGTACACACATCATATACATGCATAGATATATAGGTATGTTATAATATATGCATATAACATCATATCATTAACTTATACCATATATAAATACAATGAGAGTATGATATCTAATATAGATGAGTATGATATAGAAATAGATGTAACTATTTGAATTGAATTGGAAATTTCCTTATGCGTATATAAATATATGTAGCTATTTCAGTTTAGTATGCACATATATTTATAGATAGAAAGATATGTATATATAATTTATATTTATATGTAATTTATATATAGATTTACATGTAACTATATTTACATATCTGCACCTATCTATGCACGTATATGTCCATGCTGGTACTAGGCTTGAACTGAACGCTGGCTCTGGTCTTTTTCCCTCCAAACTGGCTCTCTACTACTCAAGCCTTTTTCCCGTGTCGTTGGAGAGAAGAGTCTCTGAGATTTGCCTGCCCGGGCTGGCTTTCCTCGTGATCCATCCCTCTCAGTCCACAAAGCAGCTTGGATAATCAGGCGATATCATCTTTCCTGTCTTAGGGCAGTTTGTTGTTACGAGGGACTGGGTTTTTGATGCAGTCTTTAGCGCTTCCTATGGTTTTTATGGTCGATCCCATAATCTGACTGGAATCTCCCCTTCAAAACAATAAAATAAAAAGGACCAAACGTACTGATTCCAGGAAACACTCTTTTTTTTAAAGCAATTTTGTTTTGAAGAAAGGCTCCTAGCGTATCTGGTAAGAATTCAAGGTAAGAGATGGTGAACCTAGCGTGAACATAATTTCATAATCGATAATGATACACATTGTTCAGTTTTGGAGTGACATGCATCCGATAATAAACACAGATCCACAAAGACAGACTAATAAAGGAGCTTAGCAGACAGCCACAATGAAGCATTCAGGGATTGACACCGGGTAATATTGCCAATTTTCCTGGCATTCTTTCATTGTTCTGCCTAGGAGAAAATTCATGTCAGTTTCAAAGTTATTTTTTAATCTATGAAAAAAAAAATACCACAATTGAGCATCACAGCCTGTTCCGAGAAGAACATTCTGTAGTGTTTTTTTTTTAAGTCTTGAAACGACAAAGAAAAGGTTGTGTTAATTCCTGCTATTGGTTACACATAGTGATCATGTGTGCGTGTGCGTGTGTGTGTGTGTGTGTGTGTGTGTGTGTGTGTGTGTGTGTGTGTGCCAGTCCTGGGTCTTGAACTCAGGGCCTGGGCGCTGTCCCTCAGCTCTTTCACTCCAGGCTGGTGCTCTACCACTTGAGCCACTTGAGCCACAGCTCCACTTCTGGTTTTCTGAGTGGTTCATGGGAGATAAAAGAGTCTCACAGACTTTCCTGCCCGGGCTGGCTTTGAACCGTGATCCTCAGATCTCAGCCTCCTGAATACCAGTTTTATAAGCATGAGCCACTGGCACCTCTGGCTGATTCTTCTTTTTAAATTTTAATTTTATTGTTATTCTCAGGGTGATGCGCAGAGGGGTTAGTGTTACATAAGTCAAGTAATGAGGACATTTCTTTTTGGGATAATTTCTCCCTTTCCCTTTATTAGTTCTTCTTAACTTCAACTTCTCCTGAACCTTCATGTGGCTCCAATTTCTATGTATTTCCAATTCTTGGGCATGAGCATGTAGATGGCCAAGGGCTTTCACAGAAGCTGGAATATAGGTATTTTGGCAGTCAAATCCCTCTTGATTTACAAAGGAATGCTTCACTGAAATGTCTGGGGTGAGATCAGGTTCTCTGGTAGAAGATGTTATTTGGTCGACAATTATACACACCATCTCTCTGTCTCTCTTTGTCTATCAGAAGTTTCATGGAAGAGAGTCACGAGTTGTGGAAAACTCTCTATTCTTTAAAGAATGCAGAATTCAAGCAATGCCAGGCTACTGCATAAAGCTGATTCAGTTAGAAACGCAATGGTACCTGGTGCTTTGTTATTTAGCCGTGTTTATATTTTAAAGCCCAAATTGGGGTGGGGGGGGGGCGGGGGGGAGAATCAGGTGCTGGTGGCTCCCGCCTGTCATCCAGCTACTCAGGAGGCTGAGATGTGAGGATCACGGTTCAAAGCCAGCCTGAGCACGAAAGCCTGTGAGACTCTTGTCTCCAATGAACCACCAGAAGACTGGAAGTGGAGCTGTGGCTCAAGTGGTAGAGCACCAGCCTTGAGCTGAAGAGCTGAGGGACAGCGCCCAGGCCCTGAGTTCAAGACCCAGGACTGGCAAATAAAAGAGACAGGGGTTCTAAGTTTTCGCCTACCTTCCATCGGGCGTGGCTCTCAGTTGATTGAGTGTAACAGACAACACCAGGAGGACAACCGGCAGCTTCAGGGCAGGCATTGCTGGACAAACCTGCTGAAAAGTACAAATCAGGCATGGAAATCAAGGCCTCTCCTCCACGGACGCAATTTCCATTAGATCCTGACTGAGCGGCACTCCCAACGTCTCGGGCAGAAAGAACCCTCGGCAGCGTTAGAGAGCGTCTTCACGGAATACCTGCCAACGAGCCGCCACTATTGTGTTTTTGAAATGTTCACATTCCCAATTTTCCCCTGGAAACAACCTGAAACGTTACTATCAGAAGATCTTATTATCCTCTCGTTTGGAAGGGATGTCTGGACCAAGATGGACGGTACTCAGAAATGGACGTCCCTTGACACCCTTCATTCCTACTTAACAATAACACAAATCACATGCATATACTGTGCATCATACATTCATGCACATTTTACATACATCATACTCCATCCATGCCTATTCATACACAGATCACACATCTTCTACACGATACATCATAATGCACATAATACATATATTACTCCTGTACAGTGCACGGTATACATGTAGATATAACATATACTGTGTATGTTGTACACAGACCATGTCATGTATATTATAGTATATAACGTGTGCGTTATATTATGCATATATCATACATTTTATACATATCTTATGTATTTACACACATGCATAGTATATGTATATTCATATATATTAATATTCACATATTATATTCATTTACATGTTATGCACATACACGACACATATATTATACAGGTGCATTTTATGTTATGCAATATTATACATGCATAATACACTGTATACTATATTATGTATACTATGTAGCACACATATGACCTCCTTTGAAATAAGTCATATATTTAAGGCTGTTTCCCCTTCCTAAAGAATATTGTCTATGTAACATACCGTATACGTTATATGATTGTATATAATTGTATGCAATGCCGTATCATATAATATATGGCATATTGTGCATATATGTTACCCCTTTCTTTGCAGCCTATTTCAGAGCAAGTCTCCTTTTCTCGTACTAAACAATCCTCTCCCCCACACTGAGAATTCTTTACCTGTGAACGTTTCAGTCGGCAAAATCAGAAAAAGCAACAGAGCAACAAAGCCTCTGAGAGCAAAAACGTCTCCTGAGCAAAAGCCCCAGGTACCTCGTAACTGCTGGCTCTTATACCGTCGCCCCCGGCTCAGCTCTGACGTCAGGCCGAGTGCAGAGCTGCTGTCATTAATTCCGGCCAGATGGAGGCTGGGGGGCAGGAAGACACGGGTAAATATTAACACAGCCATTTTACCCCGGCTTGTCATCGTAAAGATGCAGGAGAGCAGGCTCAGCCCAGCTGGTAATGAGCAAAACCCGTGAGCCTTGGAAAGCGACAAGTAATCATGAGGACTCGATTACGAGAGTTAAAAGATGGAGCTGCTGACGTCTACCACGGATGGAGCGTGTGTGCAGACTCCAGGCAGGACCAAGCGAGGGATGAACAAGTAAATCCAAACCACCCACTGGCCTTCAGGAACGTCTTGGAACTGGAGGTGAAGGTGTATCGAAAAGGCACTAACCCAAAAGACAGAGCAAAGGCCGCTTACGAGGAAGGGGAGAGGAGAAGCATCAAACCCATCATCCACTTGGCCTACGTACTGTAGCTCCCGCCTGTAATCCCTGCTACTCAGGAGGCTGAGATCTGAGGATCTCAGTTGGAAGCCAGCCTGGGTTAGAAAAGTCTTGAAACTCAAGTGTGTGTGTGTGTGTGTGTGTGTGTGTCCATCCTGGGTCTTGAACTCAGGGCCTGGGCGCTGTCCCTCACTCTTCAGCTCAAGGCTGGTGCTCTACCACTTGAGCCACAGCGCTCCTTCCGGCTTTTTGATGGTTCACAGGAAATGAGAGTCTCATGGACTTTCCTGCCCAGGCTGGCCTTGAACTGCGATCCTCCAGATCTCAGCCTCCCGAGTAGCCGGGATGACAGGCAGGAGCCACTACCCCTACCTGCAAGCAATTTTTGCCTTTTTTTCTTTTTAAACCAAATTTGAAGGTGCTTAACAGTTCACAAAAATCAGATGATATTCCGGCGCCGAAAATAGAAATAGCCAGTTCTGCTTATTGGTGCTTGAGTTTACACAGCTGTGCCCGGGGGGACCGAGGGAGGCTGCGATTCTCATCCGTCTATTCCGGGATGTGCAGTTCTTCGTGTATTTATTTCTTTATCTTCCCCCCTGCCGCCTAGCCGGTGATCACCTCCTGATTGTGCATTTTCCTGACACACATCCGTGGTCTCAGGCTAGTGTGGTATAATTAGAACTCTGGCTTTCACAGGCTTCCTGAGCTAATGCAAGAAAAGGGGGCTGGGGTCCCCTAGATCAATGTTTTTGTCATCCTAGCTACTCAGGAGGCTGAGATCTGGAGGATCGTGGTTCGAAGCCAGCCTCCTGGACAGGAAAGTCCGTGAGACTCTTCTCTGTAATAAACGACCAAAAAGCTGGAAAGTGGCGCCGTGGCTCAAGTGGTAGAGCACCAGCCTTGAGCACAAAAGCTCAGGTACTGAGTTCAAGCCCAAGATCTGAATTTTTCTTAGGAAAGAAAAGAAAAAAAAGAAAACAATAATGTCTTATAGTTCATTTCTACATTATTTCAACAAACTCGTTTCTGAGGGACCACTGCTTGACATCAGAGGGTATCAGAGACATGATAGCAAATAAAGCAAATTCCTGCCTCCAGACGACTTAGTTGTTGGAATAAAACAAAGTATAAACAAGTAAGTAAATACACAACTAATATCTGTGTGTGTGTGGAGAACTCAATATGGTTTCTTTTGCTATTTTTTTGGCCAGTCCTGGGACTTGAACTCAGGGCCTGGGCGCTGTCCCTGAGCTGCTTTTGCTCAAGGCTAGCGCTCTACCACTTGAGCCACGGCGCCACTTCCAGCTTTTTCTGGGTGTGTGGTGCTGAGGACTCGAACCCAGGGCTTCATGCATGCTAGGCGAGCGCTCTACCAGTAGGCCAGGTTGCCAGCCTGCCCCTCACTGGTTTTTCTGTCCCTTGAAGTGTTTTTGGCCTCCATGGGAATTGACTGAACTTCTTCTACTAACTTCTCAATAAACACAGTCCCTTGGGTAATCGTATTTTTAACTTCTTCTGAGTTCTTGCTTTTGGACCGTCCATGGCCAGCATTGTGTTGGCCTTCTGGACATAACTACCCAGACTTCCTTCTTTGGGGGTGTGTTATTTACTGCCTTGCTTTCTAGTTTTTTTTTTCTTATTTCTTTTTGAAGTTCTTTTCCTTTCTCGTTTCCTTTTAGTTCCTCACCGCCTCGCCTCCAACAAAAGCATTTTCTGTTTGTTTTTTTGGGTCTCAGGATTTGTTATGGAGCCTTCCTCAAACTGCCTTGTGCTATGTACGGATTCATTTCTATAATATCACATAGCGCCGTTTTATAACTCCCCTGAACAACGATCAAAAGGATCTAACGTGGGCCACTGAATCAAGCTTGAACCTGCCCCAAACCTTGATCAAATCCGTATCCCGTCTACGTCTGGAATCTTAATTTCCTTAGGTCTCTTTTCGTTTCTGTGATATTGGAGCTTGAACTGAGGGTCTGGGTGCTGTCTCTTAGTTTTTTTTTCTCTCCATTGGTGCTTTACCACTTGAGCCACAGTTCCATTTCCAGCTTTTTGGTGGTTCCTTGGGCTGGCTTTGAACCTTTGAACCATGATCCTCAACTCTCAGCCTCCTGAGTAACTGTGAGCTAATGGTGCGGGGCTCATTGTCCAAGTTTTTGATGGTTTGTTGGAGATACGAGTCTCGTGGATTTTTCTGCGCTGGGCTGGCTTTGATACAGGAAATGAAAAAAATACATCTCGTTTGAAAACCTTGGCAATGGGACTTTATGGTATAACAGAAGAGGCTCCCATTCTTCTTTTTGGCAAATGGCAACCATAAATTCATCAGAAAGTTCTAGAAGCAAGGCATTTGGGACAACTTGTTGCCTGTTCCGTGTAGGTGGCCCAGGGTTGTGAATAAACTTCAAACGTCGGCCATGCTTTTCCATGAATTCAGTGACGTTGACTGATGCTTTAGATCTCTAGTCCACCATGAGGCTCTTCAGCAACTTCAACAGTACTATGTCTGGTGCTGTGGCTCACGCCTGTCATCCCAGCTACTCAGGAGGCTGAGATCTGAGCATCGTGATTCAAAGCCAGCCTGGGCAGGAAAGTCTGTGAGACTCTGATCTCCAATGAACTACCAGAAAGCCAAAGTGGAGCTGTGGCTCAAGTGACAAAGCACTTGCCTGGAGTGAAAGAGCTCAGGGACAGCGTCCAGGCCCAGAGTTCAAACTTCCTAGCCAAAAGTAAATAAGAAAACAACCCTCACCCCCCAAAGAAATAGCAGTAGGTACTAAGTATAAAACAATGTTTCTAGGGGACAGAGAACACAGGCAATTAGCCAGAGGATGAAGTTCTTGGCACAGTCCAAAATCCAGACAGCCACCAGCATTTCAGGACATAGGTTCAAAGTCCAAGGATTCCAACGCATCAGGTCCCTGGTAGCTTTCCTAACAAGTCAAATAAACAGAAGAGCCCTCGTCGGGGGCTAGTAGCTCACTCCTGTAATGCCAGTGACTCGGGAGGAACGCACTTTGAGGCCAGCCAGGAAAGAAAAGTCCGGGAGACGCCATCTCCAAAATAACCAGCAAAAGGCAAGGCTGGGGGGTGATTTAGGTGGTAGAGCGCCCAGAGCATGAACCAATGGGGGGCCTGGAACATGGATAGTTAAAGTCACGGTTTCAGTCTCACACACACACGCACACACACACACACACACACACACACACACACACACTCGAAGGCTAAGCCAGGCAATGGTAGCTCAATGTCTGTCATCCTAGCCACTCAGGAGGCTGAAATCTGAGGATTGTGGTTCGAAGCCAGGCTGGGTAGAAAATTCCAGAGATTTCTGAATGTGGACAGCTCATCTGGCTTTAATTTTCTCCATGTGATTCTCTCTTTTCCTTCCTTCCTTCCTTCCTTCCTTCCT